CTTGTTTTTGTTGTTTTTGGTTCATTCGCTAACCATTATGGCTTTGCAGAAAGATGTTCATTGGTGGTTTGAACTGGGAGACGACTGATCGTAAGTGGACTTGAGCAACAACATTTCTTACGTCGTCTGACCTGAAACCTTAGAATCATTGAAAGATTACTTCTCTCAATTTGGCGAGGTTTTGGAGTGCACTGTGATGAGAGATGGCGCTTCGGGTCGTTCTAGAGGCTTTGGCTTCTTGACCTTCAAAGATGCCCGTACTGTTAACATTGTGATGGTGAAGGAACACTATCTCGATGGCAAAATCGTAAGACCCGATTTCCAAACTCCTTCCAATTCTTTACGTCTCTACCCTTCATTAGACCCTTCCTCTACCAAAAACATAAACTCACGCGCCCGTTGCAAGATCGACCCTAAAAGGGCAATTCCACGAGACGAGCAGGAACGTACCAGCAAGATCTTTGTTGGTGGTGTCAGCCAGGAGGCCACTGAGCAAGACTTCAAAGAGTACTTCATGCAGTTCGGCCGAGTCGTTGACGCCACCCTCATGATGGACAAAGACACCGGTAGGCCACGAGGCTTCGGATTCGTAACATTCGATAGCGAAACCGCAGTCGATGCCTGCCTAGACTCACCGCTCGAGATCCTTGGTAAACCAATCGAGGTCAAGAAGGCTCAGCCACGAGGCAACATGAGAGAGGAAGAAGAACGGGGTGGTCGAGGAGGACGATTCCGGAAAGGAGGCAACGACGAAAACCAAAACCAAAACCAAATGCAGCAAAGTGGTGGTAATCAGATGGCGCCAGGCGGCATGACCCCTCAGGTTATGGCTCAGTACTGGCAACGCATGCAACAGTACTTCGCTATGATGCAACAACAAATGGCTATGGGTGGTGGACGTGGTATGCCTATGGCTGGAGGTATGAACCCAGCTATGATGATGCAGATGCAGCAGATGCAAGCCATGCAACAACAGATGCAACAAGGTAACCGCAGCCAAAGCCCTCAAAGTCCCGGTGCTGGCATGGCCGGTATGCAGGGCATGAATCCAGCTATGATGCAGCAGATGCAGCAGATGCAACAAATGCAAATGCAAGGCATGGGTGGTGCTGGTATGGGAGGCGGCGCTGGTATGGGCAACAACTATGCTGCTGGTGGAGGAAGTAACCCAGGAGGACGGATCGGTACGCCGGGATACAATGCTTATGAACAGCAAATGTTCGAGCAGCAGAAGTATGAGCAACAGCAAATGCGACGGGCCGGCGGTGGACGTGACCAAGGTCAATATGGTCAAGGTGGTGGTTATGGTCAGGGTATGGGTGGTGGACCTACATCATGGGAAGGAATGTATGACGATGTTCCTCAGCCGAATGTTCCTACCGGAGGCGGAGCTCGTGGAGGGTTTCAGGGAAATCGTGGTGGAAGCAATAGAGGTTCGGCTCCTCCACAGACTGGTCCTCAAAGTGCTCCTCCTGCAAACGCGCCCACTGGACCGAAGAATGCTGGAAAACCCGGGGCGAACTATCGAGGTGGCGGCAGGGGAGGTAATCGTGGTTTCCATCCATATGCTAGGGGGTGAATGGGGGTTGGATTGCTACTTGTGGGCTAGGTCTAGGCTAGGGTCTCAAAAGCTTCTCATGCTGTGGCATGTCATTTGTTATTAGTATGATGCATATCACCACGTGTGTGATTTACAAGGATAACTTGCAATAGCGTTATAAACAAATTCAAGAACGCTTTCACCTATAATTTTGTGAAGCCTTCCTTTGGAGGCTGTAGCCAGTTTCTCTCGTCGTAGACTGCTCCCTGACCCTCAATAACATGGAACGTGTAGATAATCCTTCCCTTCTTACTGACGTTCTTCTCACTCTTATGCAGCAGATTACCATGAATCAGCACCAGAGAACCAGCCTTAACCTCCCCAAGCACATAATCACCTCCCTTAGCTTCCCCTCCGTACTCGCCGCCGACCGGGAATTGCAACCCCTCATTATCAATAAATTCCGTACCCGATCCATCTCTCTTCCTGACAAACCTCTGCCCGATAGGTGCACTCTTGTGACTTCCGGGCAAGAAACTCAGACATCCATTCTCGACCGTCGCATCTTCCAATGCGTACCAAAACCCAACTGCACTTGGTGGATTCGTATATAGGAATGTGGAATCTTGATGCGGGGGAACTGCTCCGCCTATCTCGGGCTGCTTGCATATGATCATGCTTTGAAGACATTGCGGCGTGCGAAAACCGATGGATTTTGCGATGAGCGCCGGGGAGTGTGTGGAGGATGGAGAGAGGAGTGAGGCGAAGGGTGGAGAGAGAGCGTGGAGATAGTGACCTATTTTGTTTATGGCGAGGGCTTTGGGTTTCGTGAGCTTTCCGTCGGAATCGAATGCATCTGAGCTATTAGTAGGGTTTCCCTGGGAGATTGGGGATTGTACCTTCTTCGAAAAAGAACCTAACCTTGTCACCGCTGCTGAGGAAGTAATCGTCTCCTACATGATCGCTTTTTTCTCCTGTGGAGAACTTTGTCATAGGATGGTCGGAGAGTGAGAAGTTGTCGAGGAGTGAATGGGTTTCTGCGAGAAGCTCAGAGACTGTCTCGGCAGACAGGGCGTTAGGAATAATGAGGTAGCCATCTCGTTCAAAGGTTGCTAATTGTTCTTTTGTCAGGCCATGGGCAGCTGATGGGGGATCTGGAGAGGTTCGTGAGGGTGCCATCTTGAGAGTTGAGGTTGTGAGCAGAGAAGGAGTGAGGGTTCAAGTACTCCGTAAGCTTATCTTATCACAGCTACCCCTCCTTCGTAAGAATGACCTGCTCTAGACTTACAGTACAATGCAGAGTGAATGTGGGACTGGGCAGTCAGTCAACGTCCCTTTACCTACGCACTACTTCATACCATCTCGGATATAGAGTCGCTCGCACCTTTGGCAACTTGCGACTTGGCTTTCAAAAATGTCTTTATCTTGAATAATGAAGTTCTTCACTAACGTACTTGATAAGTAAGCTGGCCGTGCATGTAAGGTGGCCACGCCCCACCAAAACCACCACTTCAAGAACTAATAACTCAACAACGAATTGAAATTATTATTATTAAACTAGGCTAATTTGAATTGAAATTAAGTGGACACGTACGGGCCGTGTGTTCGAGCGATTTACACATACTACACGTCCGCGGCGCGCGAATTCGTCGCTCTTCAACCCCACCCGTAAACTGACCCGTAGGCTCTGTATTCGCAATTACAGATCGATTCAAGCTCTCCTGAACTGTTAAAACACCCCTTGTAGTAATATACGACCTCCGTACAGCTCTCTTCTTCTTTTGGCGTTCATTTACGGCCCGTAACGTCTTGTTTTCGTCCGCGAGAAGGACTGCAGAGTGCATAGCCATTTGGCAACCTTTGACTAATTGTTGAATTGCACGGTCCGTAGGGCTAGAAGAACTAGCTGTACGACGCTGTACGAAGTCTCCGATTGCCTTAGCTTGTAATTCCAACTCCTGTATATTATGTGGCGTCTCTGGGACCTAAGGCGCTTGTTCGGTCGCGGGAGGAGGAGGAGGGGTAGGCGTCCGTAATTGAGTATTGAGCTTCGAGAGGACACGTTCAGGGTCGTACGGGACTAATCCAGTAGCTGCGAACCCGCTACGGACCGTATTTGAAGTTATAGACTCTGTACGGGCCGTAAGGTAAGCTAAAAGGAAGTCAGACTTGTTAATATGGCTAACCCCGGCCCGTATTAAGTCTTCAACTTGTCGTCCGTACGAACGCTTAAGGACCGCAAAACAGCTAACGTTAAGAGGCTGAAGTAAATGCGACGAATGCGGTGGCATATAAAGAGTAATAATACAGTGGTCTTTGCAAAACAAGTCGAATTCAGGCGTTACGTGGCTTCCGTGTCCGTTAAGAATCAAAAGCCGATATACACCCTTCGTACGATCCTTTGTATACGGATGAAACACGTCCGTAAGCTAAGTTAAGCCTAATTGATCAGTCGTCTAGCTATTATCACTAACTGCAATTGTCTAATCGGATAGTAAAGAGTCGAGATACTAAGAAGAGATATGAGTTTTGCCTTTGAGTATAATCATCGAGGGAAGCGACTAACCGCTCGAATTAATACACTCAATAGCCGTAACCCATTCACGGTTCCCAGGTTGAATCGTAACGGGCCGTAAAGCTCGTTCAGAAGCTGTAACAACTTTTGCAGTTGAGATTACGCCTATCTGAAAGCCTGTCTCATTAAAGTTGTAAATATCCTCGTCTTGAATCCCATATTTTGCGACTGTATTTTGTTCGAGTCGGAACTAGTCTCGAATAACCGTAGGATCTTCGCAGAGAGCACGTTTGTAATCGTATTTCCGGTTGTATCGGGTCCGTAAAGAGTCGTGGCGTTGGACGAAGTTATATGGCCACCGAACTCCAATCGTACGCGTAGAAGACGCGTCCGTACCGGTCCGTTTTTGGAGAAGTAATATAGCCATAACTCGAATTGAAGCCGTACGGACCGGTAAACCTCGTTCGTCCATAGATAAAATCCAATTAACGAGCGTTAATTCCTCCGTAGCTGTGAGTTTGTGGTTTGTAGACCGATATTCTTGTCGAGAGGGGCGTCCTTGAAGACGCGTTTGAAATGTCGATTTTGGTACGTCGTACGAAGCAGCTGCGCCTCGTTGACTTGTAAAATAGCCAGATTTGTACGAATTGATCGCAAGAGCCATTCGCCCTTCCTTAGAAGCAAATTGGGCCTTGGTTCGTTGAGACATGACTGGTTGAAGAAGGTAAAAGTAGTGGTTTTGGTGGGGCGTGGCCACCTTACATGCACGGCCAGCTTACTTATCAAGTACGTTAGTATGTTTACTTACATAAGCGAAACATGCATTGCTGCCTCACGCCGCTACACCAAATTGAGAGCAAGACTCGCAAAAAAAAAAACAGATTTCTTCACAATTTGCTATACACAGTTAATAATTGAATAAAGTTCAACGGAAATATGTTACTAACCTGTCTGTGAGGTTCGAACTCACGCATCTTTCGATAATGGTGTTTTATTCAAGCTTGCGCTCAACTTAAAACCATCGCCTTAGACCACTCGGCCAAAACAGCAGGATGTTATTGTGGAGATATTGTGGGAGTAGTAAACTCTTATATCATTACAATTTACAGAGCAAGATTTGCCAGGTTTTTCGAGCTTAGAAGGCCTTGTGATTGGTAGGGCTCGGCGGTTACGTGATATTAACACGACTAATTTTGATATCATAACTCTATAAACTCTTTTCATACAACATTGGTCCTAAGCAACAGTCCTCCCCAGCCTCCATACCCTCTTCGGTGGCCGGTTCCTGTAGCTGCGATACTGCTCGAGGTCAGGGGTTATAGATGTTGCATGAAGTTGCTCAATCAGAACATCGAGAGATTATTACACAGTTAGCATCGACCGGGGGACACGAATATATATTGATTGTAGTTGAGATACTGTTGATGGGTTATTGGGACAGGCGCATTCCTGTTACTTTGATACCAGGAAAAGTCTGGATCGCATAATTGACATACTTTCACACATCAAAAATTAGAGAGACACAATTGGCTATCTATATATTCTGAGTTTTGCTTACCTGCCATCTTTCAGAAATGACCTCATGGCCTTTGGTCCATGTTCATGGCAAGTCAAGTTTGAAATACAGGGCACAAGCACAGTTTGGCTTACAAGGCTCGTCATTTTCCTGTCTGGGTCCATTGACGAGATCATTTCTTGTATGGCAATGCTGAAGAATGTAAGGTGTATACTACTCGATAGAACAAAGTCAATATTTGTAGGCTAAGCGAGGAACATAAACTCCTTAAATTGCCCAAGACTTGCTCCTCCTAAGTATAAGAACATTTCCACGTATGTAGTGAACTCGGTTAGGGACTTGGATTCGCTTCAAATATGAGAGTCTCCATTGTGAGCAGCTGATATATCGCTTGAAACCCATTAAAATAATAATAATTTGGTGCCGAAATTTATACGGCCGGGCAGCAATGTGCTAAAAAAAAAAACGCTCGGTATGTCTTTACGAGGTTGTTCGTGAGCGTTAGGCGATGTTTGCGTCGGAGGAATGGGATCCTCCCTTAATCATCGATCATAGTTTTCACGACGCAGATATTGAGCTAGATGTACTTGTCATGGAGGTTGTCAGATATTCCAGCTGACGCAATTTTTGGTCGCCCATGTTCAGGAAACCTCCCTCTTACACATACCCCATCGACAGTAAAGCGTGAGTTGATGTGTGGTACAAATTCCGAAGTCATTGATGCTAAATACTGCCGAGTTTTCGAAGCTTGACACATAGGAAGATCTTTGAAGGCAGTATCCCACCAAGATCTGGGGCTTCTATGATCCAGTCGAGTTCTTGAAAGAGGTTCCATTTATTCGGGGCTCGAGTTACTGGTTAGATGCGATCGTCACTTGTTCACATTATATTGACAATGCGATAAAGAGCTCGGGGAGGAATTTACTCAATCTGAAGGGTTGGAAAAGAAAGCGTTGCACAGAAACACTTTTTCAGAATAAGTCAACAGCTACCAGAATATTCGACTGCTTCCTTGCCTTTGAACGAAAGAGTCTCCTTCCTACATCAATTACTGCTTCAGTAGCTCGTTGATCTGTGATTCAATGACCTATCAAAAAGTGGTAGACAGAAGCTACCTCTAAGATTGATAAGCGAGGCAGCCAAACACTCGCTCTCCAAAATGCGCAGATAAATGGAATTAATTCCTGCCGTTATCCACAGAAGACATTGGGCTGTAATTGCCGTCATGAAAAATTGACTATTGTTGCAACTCATTAAATAGCTTTTCGCTGTCCTTTTTGAGCTCCATTCTTGGCTTGTCAAGCTCGACTCAGCTTTCCTAGTAGGCTAGATACTGGGCGGCTAAAGTACCTGACGTTCGCCGAGATCTTACCTGCATCCATTACTATACACAAGGAAACCTAGTGTGCACTTGAGAAGGCCCTTGTTGTCCTGAGTGAGAATGCCGTACTACTAACTCAGCTTCCATGTTAAGAGTTCTCAAGGAGGACCAGCCAATCAACGAGCAGAGAGGACTTTGCAGAAAATATTTAAAAGAGACTGGTCCCTCGATGTCAAGTGTCATTAATTTATGCATGCAAGAAGTCTTATACGGAATGAATCATACAGCCGTCCCAATGCCCATCATGCAGTAAATACCGCGAGTAATTACCTGCCTTCCCAAATCAAGCCAGTACCAACGCCAATATATGCATTTCCCTCTCACCCCACTAATGACCATATCTTTCACTGGGAATAAGCTCGTAGCCTCCTTCTGAAGGGAACACAAACGCCGAGAGCGAGATCAATGCTGCGCTGACGACGGCAATACTCCAGCTAACAGTGCAAAGAATCCAGGACTTATCCAGCTTCCATCCCACAAAGAAGCGGTCATCATTATCGAAAAGGAAGGCCTGATTTCATTAGCAAGACCCGGATATAGTCCACAAGCTACTTACCACAATAGCCATACCAGCACACTGAACAATGCCAACAAGCATCAGCATGAAGGCCAATACCTTCCACCCAGTCTCCCTCTTTTGCTTCCCACCTCCAATAATTATAACATATGCAACAATTGTACCCAATTCGAGAACGGCGGCAAAAGACATCAAGAAGCCCACTGACCGCCACATCGAACAGAAGTACCTGTCGCTTCCATGACAGTCTTCCTTCTGCGGGAAATGTATGCAAGTATTACTCGTCGAGGAACAGCTTCGATGGAGACCTATCGTCTTTGTATAATGCCCGCCCGAGGGAGAATTGACCGAGTATGTGACCCAGTCGGGGATGAAAATCGCTGCCAGAGTCATGGCAGTGGCTAGTAACGTTCAGTGATGCATTCAAAGATGGAGTGATCCAGCATGCGTACCTGCCACCAAGACCACAATTCCACAGCTATAGACGTAAAGTCTCGTCATCGTGACCTATATCCTCCCCTTCGAAGCCCGTATGTATTCTCCAATCCTGAGGACTCTGCAAGGCAGGAGGAAAGTTGTGCGAAGGGGAGACGCTGGGGTTTTGTTTGCCAGGAGGGGTCGAGTCTAGCTGCCTAAAATGTCGCTTTGAACGCTGATCCCAAAGACGCGAGCTGGAGGCGCAAGTCGCGGTCAAGGAAAATACTTGGTAGCTATGCAAAGAGCTGCAACAGGGAGTGATAAGGGCAATTTAACCAGTTTTCTTATGTGGGGGACTTGCGGGATGTTCAAGATGGCATTGTGAGATGGGAATGGAAGCGTCGATTCATTGGTCGCAATGACTTCAAAACGCCCCTACGTCAATGAATGGGCGTAAGGTGCATATGCGAGTTGTTCACGAGGCACACTTTTGATAAGATCTGAGATATCGGATCTTGCTCCTTCTTTCTTCTCATTGGCCTTTAATAGGTTATGTTATGAGATGCACTTGGAACATTGTTCGATCTGGTATCCTTTCTATGGATATTTTCTGTTCATAAAATCGTTTGTCCAGCCTCCCAGCAGTTCTTGGCAATTCCCCAGCACTCCCCACTCCTACAGAGCGTAATGGTCATCAATGGTACCCAACTGCTGCTATCCATTGGCTTGTTGATTGTTGATATTTCAGAGAGTAATTGCAATAGCTAGTCGCTTTCACTTTCCTCACTGTTCTCAGAATCATCGCTGTCCGCCTCTCCCGATTCGGATTCGGAGTCGGACGATGAACTTGAAGAACTCGACGAAGAATCCTCCTCCTGTTCATTTTGAGCCGTGGAGTCATCCGAGCTACTATCTGAATCGCTACTCTCGGAACTTGAATCCGAGTCATCAATCGTAACAACCGTCCGTTGCTTTCTCTTCCTGGCGACTTTCTGCGGAGCCTCATCCTTCGCTTGGAGTCCTTTTTGAGGCGCGTCTTCCCCACTGACTTTTGCTGGAATTGTCCTACTTGGCTCCGGAGTTGACGCCAGAATAGCTAGAATCTTTTCTGTCCTCATCCTCTTCGCAACCCTCCCTTCCATTGCCTTATCCGAAAGACCAAGCAGGATACCCTCCTCATATCCCATCTCCTCAGGCGCATTTGCTGCTATCATCGTCGCGACATACTCCTCCATAGCGACATCGTACTCTCTTTGTCTCTTTTCCGGGTGAACCATACTTTCTGGAAACCCTCCCGGGCCCGCTTCCTGGTCCTTGACCTTGATCTCGATTGCGGTATCTCGTAACCTTGTGCGTACTCCTCCTTGGAGGCCGTTAACGTATTCGCAAAGGAAATGAACGTGGTCTGACGGAACAACTTCGATATTGAAGGCGTGTTTGAGTAGGTGGTTTTGGTGGTTCTTGTTAAATTTCCAAGATTCTCGAGATTCGCAGTACTGCCTGAGGTACTGGAGGAATGGGCGAGAAGAAGGCGTGGGAGATTTGACAACCTTTGAAGGCTTCTTTGCTTTTGGTTTTCTTTCTTTCTCCTGTGCTAGCTTGACCCTCTTGAGTCTTCTTTCTTTTTCGTCAAGATTTGAGTCCACCTCTACTTCGACTCGCGGTGGCTCTGGAGTTTCGAAAGCTGGGTTTGAATTGCCGAAAGTGAACGAAGGATCCTGTGCTTGTTGTTCTGCTTTCCACGAATTGAACAGCTGCTTTATGCTGTCACCATCCTCATATTTCGTCTCGGGGGTGAATGTGACAGACTTCTTCCGCAGAATTTGAGGGGTGATTGGATTTTGAGAAGGTTCAGCTGGGAGTTTAGAGGTCTTCTTCGACTTCTTTGACGGTGTGTTGTCTTCGGCAGGTGTTCTCTTCCTCTTCGTCGTCTCGTCTGCGAGCGTTGCGGGGGACTCTGTAGATGGAGAGTCTTGCGCAGATTTCAGCTTGAGACCTAATCGTCTCCAGGCGGGAATGTGTGTGGCAGATGGCATGATTAAAGACCCACGAATGGCTTCAGTAGTGCGAGCTATTGTATCCTAAAGCCAATGCAGGGTAATTCCTGTGTGGCAGCAGAAAAAATAAACACTCTTATCAGCCACCTTATCGTACTATTAGTGGGTCCCAAAAGCAGCGTTCGTCCAAGAACATCCAGACAGAACTGCTGCTTGGGTCG